TTGTTCAATACGATATCAGTATTATACCGCAATACGAAAACTACGTTGAACCAAAATCGTAAAATAATGTTCTCACGGTCTTGAACAATAATAATGATAAAAAAAATAATAATGATAACAATTAAACGTTCACGAATAATATTAAATAATATTTCCTCCGTCACATTGTGCATAAGCGTAATAGTGCGGAGCAGCAGCAGTCGCCAGTCGGTTCGCTCTTTCCCGCAGTGGTTTATATTATAATAATATGACGAACACATTCGTATAATATACAAACTGCACACATACATGGGGACAACAGATTTTTTTCCTTCCCGTTCCCATTTCCGATTCCTCTAAACAAACACCGAACGTATGCCGCGGGGATTTTTCAATTATATCACACGGCGGCGGCTCGTAATATTATTTTTGGTCTTGCGCGCGCCAATTGAACACGACACATTAGTCGTCATCCCCTTGTTCTCGGTGGTGGTGGTGGTGGTGGTGGTGGTGGTGGTCCGCCAAAAACGTCAGCCGCGGTCGTCTGTGGGTGTGCGGCGAGAGGGTGCCGCCGTGCGCGCGTGTTTGCTCTGACGACACCCGTTATATTTACACACACGCACACACGCACACCCACACGCACCCACACACCCACATAAACTCGCACTTAGATTATGTATAGGTATATATTATAATAAATACGCGCCGTTGTCGTTTCATTATAATTCAATACGCGGGTCGCGTGCCCGCCACCACCGCGGTCGCTTTTGAAAACACACACACACACACACTCTGTATAAAATTATACATAATATCACACCTATACCGGTTTAGCGCGTATTCCCATTCAGACGATCTACATACAGATATAAATATACATCACACACATACGCACACAGTTTCATATGGACATAAATCAACGACACTGGTCCGTTGCAACGATAGTTTTATGATATTACAAGGGGTGGGTGTTCGGGTTTATGATTTCCATATACGACGACGCCGCCAGCGGTGGTGAATATAAACCCCCACGAATATAACGACAGCAGCCGCGATGGGGGATGATCGGGTACGACACGAGGTAGTTGTGCCGGTATTATAATACCTATATATATATATATATTGGCATGTATAGGTGTGGTTGTTTAGGGGTTTGATATTTATAAAAATTACACCGCAAACGGTGACGAAATTTAATTTAAATCATTTAAACCCTTTCGGTAATGGGCCATTTTCGAATGTTGAGCCATTTGTTTGGTTGTTATTGTTTTTTTTTTATACGGCACATATATCTATGTATTTAATATTTATAGGTATGTGTGATTTTATTATACACATATTATATACACCTACTTTTTGAAAATCCCCGAAAATGATTTACAACTATATGTGACCTTTTTCGATTACCTGCCCATATTATGTGGAAAAAAAGTGTTAACTGTTATTGTCTTTAAATACTCTTTCGAAAGTGTAATTTTCAATTAATTATATTATTATTATTATTATTATTATTGAATATTATGCTGTATTGAGGTGTGATGACATTTGCAGCGCCCCTACAGTAATTCTAACTACTATTTGGGAACAAATATTATTGACTAATAGAAGTTATAATATTATGATATTATTATAATTTTCAAAGATAATATTTTTATAAGTAATCTTTAATCACAAATTTAAAAAAGTTCTTAGTGCTCTCATATAGACTAATAGACTCCTGACTCATAAGTAATAAGAGGTTAAAAACTAAAACTGATTTCAAATAAAATAACGAGCACTCGTTCATAGACAATTCTGTTAGTCTTTAACTGGTAGGTATCCAGAAATTAATTAGGTATGAATGTATGATATCCATATAATGATTCATATAAAGTTTAAACCAATTATTTTATACATTTTTATTTAAAATAAAAAGATCTACAGTTAGTAAAAACTAATTTTTGTTTTTTAAACATTTTACGAAGGGCTATGTGCAATAACCAGACAGCTCCATTTTTATCAATTGTTCAGGATGAGCAACAAAAATGCCGTTATCTTATTTACCACTATTGGCGGGAAATAATTCATTTTGGAACTTCTTTGAGAATAATAAATCGATTTTTCTGATTTTAATACTAAAATATAGATATTTCTTCCATGAATAATATTCCACGAAAAATGGATTTTTTTATAAAAATGGAGCTGTCTGGTTATTGCACAGAACCCTTCTTCAGTTGAAAGTAAATGTAAATATTATAATATTATGTTCATATGTTTGAGATGAGATATATGGAGATATAGATATTCAATGTTAATTTTTTTTTCGAAGAAATCGAAACTTTCATATTTCAATGAAAATAATTCTGTTCGAGAAAAATGTACAACCATCAAGTTTTTTAAAACGTGAGTAAGTTATGCATTAAATTAAACGGGAGTGTTCCACGTATATATATATATATATATTATACGTATAAACATGTACAATATTATTTATGAGATAATACTAAGACGAAATACTTGATTAAAGAAAAATGATGAAAATGTATTATACCTAACAAAATGATATACAATTACACACGAATAAAATCTCTAAAGGATTATGATAAATACGTTTTTAACACACTGGAAGATATAAAAAAGCATCACATTTTTTTTTAATAATAGGTACCTATATATATGATGAGATGTATTACGGACATGGCTGTATAATATATATATATATATATATGTATATGCACACGAATACGATCATCGCGTTTTCGACTGCTCTGGTGTAATATTTTATCTCGTTCAGAGTGTTGGATTTTAAATGGTAATTTTTATTTAATGGAAACTAACGACCTCTCGAAACGTGAAAAAAAACCCCGCTACCTGCCAGCCTATTCATATATAATATACTAATAACAATAATTCAGTTTGCGCGTTCAATTTTTTTCCTTGTTTTACGCATGTTATTACGAATATTATGATAATATGATATTGATGTAGGTATACTTCCCCGCGGTATACATTACACAGTATTTATTTTGTTTTCGGTCTGCAGGTCGGAACACGCGGCGGTACGTCATCATAACCACGTGATGTATATACACAGTATACATGTTTATCATATATATATATATATACCTAACTTATATATATATATACGACGGCGAACAGCTCATGATGCGGTGGCATCCCTCTCGTGAGGGCTCTGCAACTAAACACACACACACACATCTAATGGGCCATAGCCAGGGGGGTGGTTCTCGGGCGGTTAACTGGACCGTCAAATACGAAACAAATTGAAACGAACGTCTTATATATATACAGTCGGTAGATAATATATCTCCTTTACTCGTGCACCGCTGAGTATAAACCCTTTGCTCATTTTTTTTTTTAAACTCTATATACCATTCAGAAATTTATTGCCCCGGACGAACGCGCGCGCGACCTCCCGCCCGCCCTCCCGGCAAGCCACCGCTACTGCAGCCTCATCCGCTACCACGCTGCACAGCGCTCGTCGACGTCGTCGTCGGAAGAGCAGAAGAATCGCGTGCGGGTGTGTACATAATATTATATAACTACAGTGTTGTACACACACACACGGGCACAACGACACAAATAATAATAATAATATATTTAGTAGAGTCGTGCAGCGTGTGAGAGGCGATAGTGAATATAATAATAATAATAATATGATATAGGGGGAGACATGTAACGAAAACATAACGACCCGCGTCGGGGTGGGGGAGTGGGAAAAAAAGAAAGAAAAAAAACAACAATCGAACGACAACGTATATTATGACAGTCGCATTAATTCCACATATCGCTTTTTAGACGTCTCCTCTACTACAGCAGCCAGTTGGGGTGATCGGAGCGCGTTCAGTGGATGGGTTTTACAATATATATATATATATATAAATACGGTCTCGCAGTCCTGCGACAACGTATTTACCTCTTACACAATAATACAACGGGCACGTCACTCAAAACAATATGCACACTCACACATACACACTCCACGTATCGTTTAATATATATATATATGTATAATGACATGTATGTGTAAATCGAAAAATTTCCCAACACGTGGGCACGTCTCGCGTGCGATCCCATCCCGCCGATATTCTGTACCCAATCTAAGTCCGAAATAATTGTGATCTGACAATTATATTTCCGGTCCGTTTAGTCGCGTTCATCCGTGGACATAAAATACATTTATATATATATACACGCATATAAATACCTCGCTCCGAAAGTCCCGCTTATATACAGACGCTGCCGTGCCGTCAAACGGATTAACGACGACTCGAGCGAGCGATACGTTTATATTATAATAGTAATATTATATTATATAAAGCTCAGTATCAGCCCTGGACGAGAGGCGAACTGCACCGATCGTGCGGCGTAGTCCCTCGTCGTTGGCGCGTGTATATCCGTCCGATTGTCACAAAAGGTCGAACCTTAATGCGCGCGTATTTAAGCCATCGGTCGGTGCGTTTATATTATAATATAATATTGTTAATAATTTGGCAAAACGAGATTATTGTCGTCATCCTGCTGCGGTGCCACTCCAAACGATAGACAGCGGGAAGCGACTACGTAGCCGCCGCCGCCGCTGCATATATATATAATATACATATATATGTTATACAAAACAAATATTGTGCTTAAACTTTTTGAGAAAATTTTATTTTAGATAACAATTATTGATGTATTTATCATTAGAAAATTATTACTTTGAAAAATAATCCGAAACATATATTAATATATATTATATAAGATATAGGTACAGTAAAACCTCTGAATAGCGGACACTCACGGGACCGACCAAATTGTCCGCTATTGAGAGGTGTCCGCTATTGGGAAAAATTGATAAAATAATATGTATGTATTTATGTCTGAAAATTTAAATTTTATTGACTTTTTAAACATTTATTTATCATTACATAATTTATTATAATTAGACGTAATAAAATTTTATTGACTTTTTAAACATTTATTTATCATTACATAGTTTATTATAATTAGACGTAATAAAATATGTTATACAAAATTACTTATTGAAAAAAAAAATCTGAAATTTTAGTTTGTTTTTTTTCTTGTATTGCAATTGCCTCAAAATTAGACTGGAGTTGATTAACTAGTGACAATGAAACTGCATCACTCTTATTGAGACAAAACGTCTTCAGTTTATTCGCTAACTGTAATGCTTCTTTGAGTGTTATTTTTTCTTCGTCTACACCGTCTGTACTATCTTCTTCTTGTTCCACGTCATGACTTTCATCCTCACTCATGCCATCATTGATTATGTCTTCAATGTTCAATGATCAGTCTTCGGTTTGTAAGCATTCATCTATTGACGAATAGTCCTGTGCATTTGTTGGATATATTGTTGAAACTAGTTTCGTTAACTCATTACTCAGATCCTCTACTTGTGTTAATTTACCAATATTATCTGACCCCGGAAACCCGTATATAATTTTTGTGATGTAGACCTAATTAATTTCAAATTTGCATTGGTTCAATGCATACATACTATTATACCCAATAATATAAAAGTTTTTCGGGGGACGGAGTGGTCGAGTGGACTAAGGACGTTTGCCGTGGCTGGTTCGAACTAGACCACGGGAGGCATTTTTCTTCGAGCGGTCAAGATGTCGACATCCCTCACCCGGGCATGGCAGATACCTACGGGTGCTCACTTAAAAATTCTGCCAAAACAAACACACACGTGTTCAAAACGTATCTTCCGTGCCCGGGTGGGGGGATGGCTACCTCTCTCTCCGGACACCGTGACTGCCCGAAAAAAAATGCCACCCGTGGCCGAGTTCGAACTGTTGACGGTGCGCATCGCTATCGACGCCTTAGTCCACTTGACCACTCTGTCCCCCAATCATTATATTATATTTTTAAAACTAAATAAAAATATGCATTACCTACTACCTATATAGTTGTATTATCAGATACTAAACTAGGTATATGGTTATAATAACACAGTGATCAGTGAAATTACTAGAAAAAACCACAAAACGTATATTGCGATTTTTCTACTTCCTAAAGTAGTCACAAAACTTGGTTTGAAGGAACTAGTAAAAAAAACATGTCACATGAAACAAGTAGGTATAGACTATAGTGTTAACAAAAAACGATTTCGATGGCTTATAGTTATTTTTTCAAAAGTCTCATTGAGATAAAATAATACATATAATTATATCTGTTGCAGTGAAAGTATAAAAAAAATCATATTGTAAACTTTTTAGTGTTTAAAATTGAAGATCGATTGCACATATTGCAGCGATGTGTGTTTATTTTATTATTTTATATGTACGCTATTACGTTTTGGAGTAGAAAAATACTTCAATCTTAAATTCTGAAAGCAGTTTTTGGTAGCTAATTAGATCTAGATTGTAAAAAATTCTTGGTATTTCATAAGCCATTCGAGAAAAACTTACAAAAATAGAGAAGAAAATACTGACATTTGATATAATCGTATTTTATTGGTTAAATATTAGTAAAATATTTTTTGATCATATAATTTAATCATGACTAAAAAGTAAGTAGAATGGGCAACTTGTGGAATGTTCCAACATATAATCACTGTAAGAATACATGTCTACTAATTTAATAAAAATGATAACGTCAAAAATAAAAAAGTAACTACATTTTTTTAGTTAAATTATTTTGAAACTGAAAACAAAATTAATAAAGAGAGTTTCCAATTTCTGCTATTACGACGTACCTACCTATATTATTATTTTGAAATAGAAACTGACAAACCGTCTCCCCGATGATTGATCTCACTGAATACAAATTTAGCACATCCTTTACAGCGTATACTAATCAATGAGGTTCATTCAAAACCTACTATATAGAAGAGCGACTTCTCCTGTTTTGTTTTTACTTAACAATCTTTCAAATAGACGATAAAACTACTTAGAGGTATATTCGAAACAAGAACCTTTGCCAGCATGTTTCTCAAGGATTAACCTTAATTCCACTTCCCAGTAACGTCCGAACAAACTAAAACAGCCTTGCACTTAAAATGAATACCAGGAATTGCGTTTTTATCCACCGCAAAACTTTGAAGTCTTTATATATATTAACTACATATGTGATTTAAAAATTATCCAAAAACATTAGAAAATATGTTACAAGATTTAAGAAAATATCATGGAAAGTTATATATTCAGTATTTAAAACCTAATTATATGATCTTATTATAAGTAATATAATCTTTATTATATTTTATTTTAGATTCTGAGTGAAACGATGAATGTATTGATTTTACAATGATGTGTGTTTATTTATTTATTTTTTTAGTGTTTGTGTACACGATAAGTAGTCGAAATAATGCTTCGATTTTCTACTTCAGTATCTTGTTCGATTGGAAAGTGAATATTGTTGGTGCATTGGGGAGGTCAAAATTTAAAATTCCCAGTACTTTTCAAAAGCGCCGAGAAAAACAAAAAAAAAATTAAGGAAAAACGGGAATTTTTACGCAAAATCGATTTTTCAGAAAATTAAATTTGGTTTTTGGTGTAACTTTAAAACAAATGACCGTAGATACATGAAATTTTCACTGGTTGTTTATATTTGCATTTTCTATACACCGCGATAACATGTTTAGGGACATATTCAGTTTCCAATTTTATTAGTTTTTTTTTTTATGAATATCAATCAAAATGTATTAGTTGGTTTCGAAAGCTTTAAAATTTAATAGAAGGCTCCTAGTATATTTTTTCAAAGGCAGATGAAAAATATTAAAAATCCTTAGTCACAGTTTTTTTTATAAACATTTAAAGTTCAAAAATTGACAAAATATGGAAAAATCACGAAAATTAGCAAATTATTTTGTGTTAAGAATTCATAAAAATGTTTTTTTTTTAAATCTTAGATTTTAAAATGTGATACAAGATTCCTTATAAGATTATCTACAATTGTCAAGAAATAAATGTCTATAAGAAAGTCAAATTAAATTTTTATGAGCGTTTGAAATTCAAATTTGTACAATATTGGATATTCACTCGATTTCTCATGTAGCGATTTCCTTATTTTGTTGTAATTCAAAAACGAATAACTGTAGATACATGAAAATATCACTGAATGTTTATATTAGGATTTCCTATACACCATACAATTTTGAAAATATTTTGACTCTTTTTGAGCTGTTTACGGACATTGTCAGTTTTCAATTATTTTAGTTTTTTTTTCTATAAATATCAATAAAGTTTTATCAGTTGGGCCAAAAAGTGTAAAAATGTAATACAAGACTTCTGATATATTGTTACAATAGAAGTTGAAAAATATTAAAATACATAGTCACAATTTTTTTTTTTATAAGATCGAATTTTGACAAAATTTATCAAATTTAAAATTGAATAATTATTTTGTAGTTAAAAATGTATAAAATGTTCAACTTTTATATCTAAGGATTGAAAATTTAAAACAAGATTCCACTTAAGTAGTTTATTCTGTTACCAAAAAATCTAAAAAATACATACCCACAGTTTATTTTTATAGTAATTTTAAGTTCAAACTTGGATGAAATTACATTAAAAAAACCTAGAATAACTATTTTAGTTATTTCGTTGTGATTGTATATTATTATTCTTGGGTACTTGAAATTTCTAAAGTACACTATTATATATCTATGATTTTATCAGTGTGTGTTGTTGGTGTATAACGCGTTATAAGTAATTAGTTCACACTTAATGATAATTAATAACTAATAAGACAAATAAGTATAATGTAAAATATAATTAAATACAGTTGTTTTCAATGTAATCCGTGAATAAATGAAATATTTTATGATTTTGCCTACCTAGTTTAATTTACAATAATTTGTTGTTTACATTTTTTAACAAAACGCTCCCTGCAGAATAAATAATAATATGACTACTTCTATATTAATAACAATAATTCAACTCTTAGTCGAGTATAGAATGTATATAAAAATATATAAATGTCGTAGCTACTTCGTGAAATCGATATGTTCATGACGTGGAAACTTCTTTATCACACTTTGTGAAATACGTGAATATTTCATGAAATGGATATGAAATGACCACTCCCATTTGACATCAATACATTATGTAATTTTTTTCACTTTGTGAAATAAAACGTTTACCATAATATGAAGTTAAAACTATTATTTATTTATCATAAGTTATTTTTTTAAAAGTCATATTTAATACCATACACGATTTTCTTACATATATATATATATGTTTAAGTTGTACCTATTTATACCCAGGAATATTAATAAAAAGGTACATTAAATAACCCAATAATATTATTTCATTAACTATGATAACAAGATTATTTTCACATTATTTTTTCAAATATGTTGTAGGTAGCACATTTTTCTTATGAAGTCTGAAGTAGTCAAGTAATAAGTACCTACCTACCTACCAGTGTTTGGAAAGAACGTGAACGACGGTTATATTTTTAATGAACTTGATCGATTTTTAAACCGTTCAATTTATTTACCAATTTATTTATTAATTAATTAATTTAATTTTTATATGACCATTTTCTATACATGATAAGACTTTCAATATGTTTGACTCTTTTTGAGATATTTATAGATACTTTCAATTTTCAATTTTCTAGTTTTCTATACATTTCTCGATGAAAACTTTTCACGTGATAAATAAGCACAATATTGTAATACAAAGTTCCTCATTAGTGGAAATTCATCTAAATCATGAAAATTTGAAAATTATTTTGTAATTAAAAATGTATAAAGTGGACAATAAAATAATAATTTTTGTTTCTCGGTCAAAATTTTCACACGCTATAAATTATTTTTTACATAGCGTTTGGCGTTGATACTAATTATACATAAAAAAGAAACCAATTGAATTATTCAACAAAAATATATATTTGTGCTAAATTTATGCAATTTACAGTAGGTACCTATAATTATTTCAAATATTTTTACATACACAGGAATATTTATCAAAAGTGTAACTTACACGTCATAATAATACACCTCTAACAGAAATAATTTAATAATGCTTAATTAGTGATACAAATTATTATTTTCATTTTACTTCGACATTTTTGTAACTACAATTATTTTATACATGTTAGGTATACATTTTAAACAGTTTATACAATTTATACATTTTACTTCGAAATTATTTCATACATTTTATACATATTATACATCATATACAGTTTATAGAGTTTATACAATTTATACATATCATACATTTAATACATATTATATATTTTATACAGTTTATACAATTTATACATTTTATACAGTTTATAGAGTTTACACAATTTATACATGTCATACATTTTATACATAGGTATTATACATTTTATAAAGTTTATAAAATGTATACATGGTGCAGGAGCAACAACCTATCAACTGTACAAAGGTTCCTCGAAGAAACAGCCAACAATCTAACTCAATAGGTCAATACGTCAGGTCTCAAATTCTCCAATTCAAAATCCCAATGCATTATATTCTCTAGAAAAAGAGGGCAAAAACATATAAACGTTCAAATAGATGGAAAAAACATACCAAACAATAACACAGTCAAAATTCTCTGCCTGAAATTTGATACAAAAATGAACTGGATCCAACATCTAAAATACCTAAAAACGGATATTAACCAAAAATTGAATTTAATAAAAATGTTAAGTCACACCCAATGGGGGGGAGATGAACATACACTAATCCGCATACATAGACAACTTATCAGAGCAAAGTTAGACTACGGAGCAATTTTATACCAATCAACCAGCCACTCACATCTTAAAATAATAGACAGTGCATTAAACTCCAGCATAAGACTATGCGTTGGAGCTTTCAAATCAAGCCCTATAGAAAGCATAAGAAACATAGCACAAGAAGCCCCCCCCCAGAGCTAAGAAGAGCAGAGAAGATACTTCTCTACGCAGCTAGCATTATCATTAGAAATACAGACAATCCAGCCAACAAACACATAGTTGAAACCATTCAAATTGCCAATGAAGATAAAATCCAGCTGGGCTCTATTCTCAAAGTAAACCCATACAGCTTCTCACCATGGACTTTCAAATTGGAGATAAATATGGAGCTAGCTCAAAATAAAAAAGAAAATACGAACCCAATAATATACCAAGAACATCTGAGAAAAATACTAGACAATTACCAAAATTGCAACATGTTCTTCACAGATGCTTCAAAAACTGAAAAAGGAGTAGGTATTGCAATCGTACACCACGAAACAACAATCAAATATAGACTACCAAAAGAATGTTTTATTTTTTCTGCTGATGCAATAGCCGTCCTCAAAACAATAGAACTCATACAAATACAAGATAAAATATCAACAAACAATCTGATACTCACCGATTCACTGAGCACACTACGAAGCTTAGAGAACAATACAAACCCAACAGACATTGCAAAGAACATACAAGAAAAAACCAACGACCTAAAGCTTAGGGGTATAAATATCAATTTCATTTGGGTACCAGGCCACACAAATATAAGGGGGTTGGAGATGGCGGACCAAGCAGCAAAGGAAGCGGCACAACCAAACAACCTCAATATACAGTTTCTCGACACCGTAACATATGATCACATCAAAACTCACATCAAAAACAAATCACTAATAAAAAGGCAAACGCACTGGTCTAAACAACAGACCAAACTCAACGAAATTAAAAACACAATTTTTAACTGGCAAAACCCAAATCTCAGCAGAAAAGAAAAAATTCTTATAAATCGTCTCCGAATAGGTCACACAAGGCTGACTCATCAATGGCCAAAAAAGAACCCACCCAATGTATATTCTGTGCCCTGTGGGGTTACACTAACAGTGAAGCACATACAATTACTGAGTGTTATCAATATGCCGAAGATCTAAAAAAATACAACATCCCACCCAACTTGTATGAAGCTCTAGGACCAGATAGTGAAAACATATCGAACATGTTAACCTTCCTCAAAAAATCCTATTTATACGACAAAATTTGAACCTACTGTTAAAGAAAATTGTAATATAAATATAAATTTAAATTGTAACCATAATATATAATGAACACCATACAAATACTGTATTTTTAATAATGACTATGTAATTTTGCACAAAACTAATAACCCTTTGTTGTTGATGTTTTTTTAAGTTCAATAAAAAAAAAAAAAAATGTATACATATCATATACATAATACATTTCCGACAGAGCGTCGAGATAATAATTAAAAAAATTATTGTTAGACATAGATTTTACTTATACCGCAGTATATTCTATACAGCAGCGTCTGCAATAGCACAACAGCAATATTATTCCTCGGGACTAGATGTGCAGCATAATAAACGCCTGACAAATTTCATAGAACGTTCCCAAAACGATCGGCTCCTGACTGGCTTTGACCGTCGTCCGTCGCCGTGTTCGTGGTCACCTGCACCTGGTTCGTTATGGTCACATATGTGTCCTGCAGTTTCTACACATAGTTGACCGGAATCGCTACATAATTCCATAGTTCGGTCAGCAGGGTTTTCAACTCCGTCATCTACTGCAGGACTACTCGTGGCGGACGGCGGCACACAGTTGGCCGTTTCGGGCGTCGTCGACATTGATGTTTGGCGCGGAAAAATAGAGTTTTTTCTGTCGGCTTTCGGCGTAGCAGCTGGCACGACTCTTTGCCAAGTACAAATAAACGAAACGGTCGAAGACACGATACGGTTCCTAGGTCTGACCGCCGCGTTCGTGATCACCACCTGCAGGTCCTTTATCGCAGCGTCCGCGGTACTATCTGCAGATCCACACTGCAAGTGTCCGGCACAGCCACATCGAGTTCTACAGGTAGGGATTTCGACTTGGTCGACGCTGGAATTTTCTTTTCGTCAGTTTCAGCCGGTGTCAAAAGCATTATATTCGGCATAGAAGCAGAGTACTGCCTGACCAATGGACTCGCGGCCGCACGTTCTTTGTTCGAACTCATGAGATTTGTCGAAGACATCTGAAATTCTGAACAGTAGGTACGAAAGTTATGTTAGATTATAACTGATATACAGAGGGATTTACCAGCATGCTCACCCTCGTTTTTCCTTTAATAATAAATGTATTCAAATTATAATTTTAAATATGCTCATAGACCATCATGTTATTTTAAATTGTTTAGATTTCTATACCGCATTTAAGAAGTGTCCCGTGGCTATACACATTTATTTTTTTCAAATGAGACCAATATTTTTTACTGTTAATTGTTAGGCATATTATTTTTTTTTATACCTATCACTTAGACTAATCATTAAACTTAACATTACAATAATTAATATTAATCACCTGCACGTTTTTTAAACATTTGGTTGTTTTTAGAAGTATTGAAATAATTCTAGTATAGTTTATATTTACAGGTTTAATTAAAATTATTTTAACATAAAATAAACATCTTTGGTTTATTGTTTTCATAGTTTTCCTATTTATATATAATATACTTAATATATAAATATCCTTCTAGAACTGATAAAATTATGTTTTTGATTAAAATATTTTTACAATTTGGTTTCATTTGTAATAATTAAGATTATTTAATATAATTTAATAATATTATATATTATATTAGACAAACATCAACATTTATTATCTAATATAGAAATACCTAATAGATGTTGGACTAAATAAATTAATGTTTCATAATTTTAAGATGTTAATCTGATGACAAAATTGAGTGTATATTATAATCAAATACAAAATAGACTCAGAACATTAAAAATATTATATCTTTTATTAGTTAGTATTGTTTTGTTTGTTATAATAGTGTAGACGTTTAGTTATACGAACATAAGTATAGGGTTTAAAAGATAATAATTTTTTAGTCAATAATTGATTAGTGTAAAATTTAGTAATCATTGGTTTTTTTACATCCATCAATTGTAAATAAAAAGATATTTCAATCTATATTATAATGTTAAATTTACATTCTTATAAAATATAATACAAGTACTTTGCGAATAATACACGTACTACAATATTTTGTAATCTTAAGTGTTTATTAATGTTATGTTTTATAGTCATTATAAATGAAGAGCACTTGGCATAGTGTATATGGACACTAGTTCGAACAAAATCCAAGAGTGATTTATTGATTGGGGAAAAAATATTACAGTAGCTGATTCTAACGACCAATCACAATGCGTGTTAACTCCCTTTATGGCCATCAGGTAATGCTTGACATGATTATAATATATTTACCGACCCTCAATAAAACTGTCTTTAAATTTACTATATGGACCGAAGAACATAAATTACATACCTATAGTGAATAAGAGTATAAATAATATTATATAGGTACCTATAGGTAACCTATACCTGATGTGTGCCTATAGCAGGTTGGACCTTTCATGGAAAATGCCAATATTGTTCCCTATAAATTATAATATAACTTAGGTATAGGTAGGTAACTACAAGCCTAATAATTAGGAATTAATTAAATAATAAAATTTTTAAGACATTTATTTTTAAATTCAATTTTGAATAATATTATATTTAATTGAGATATCATTTGAAAGGAGTTTATTTAATTGTGTTTTTATATATCAGTATATCATTATATTAGTATATATAATATGGTTGTAATATAATATATTAGGAATTTATTTGAACCAGTTTCTTTTATTTGTTCATATACAGTATATACGCACTGCAGTATGCAATATATTTTTTACGGTTTGTAGTCTTGTAGATCCCTATCCGTATTATACGTACAGGATGTGCATTGTGCAGCATTTATTTAAATATGATTTTACTTGCTTAAAATCATTTGCGTTATCTCCAGGTTTTCTCATCGGAGTGTATATAATATATATATATATAGCTCGTTGAATATATATTATTTTATTACTTCGGGATAAGCATATATCGTAGTGTACGTGGGTGTTATGTTATAATTATTAATGCAACTAGTTACTGCACCAACGAAGACACTGGCACGAGATAGCGTGCGAATATATTTATACACAAATATGTATATATATATATACATCACTGCACACACCTGCAGCACGGGGTGGTTGGAGGGGGTCGAGAGATTCGATGTGGGCGAGTGTCGGTGGTGGTAGTACTGATGCTGCTGCTGCTGCTGCTGTTGCTGGTAGGGGTAGCGGCGGCGTGTATATTCAACCCCTCCGCTCGAGGAAAAAAGGGGGTGGAGTTGGGCCGCCGACGACGACGGTACAGGAAGGAAGGGATGAGGATTCTGAGAGTGTCGCCCTCAGTGCGCCGCCGGATAGCCCAGGCTTAGCATGTTGATCCCGCTGGATTAGTGGAACGGCTACCCAGTATCAGGTTAGTGTTTTGCTCTTTTTCGTCCTCCCCCCTCCATTCACTACCACTTTAGCCCCTTCTCCACCTATTACCCCTCGATTCTAACTCGTGTTCGTGTCATGTGATATCATCATATCATTATAAATATTATATTATATATTACGTGACGAAATTCCGTTAAATTAATATAAACCTACGTATGTATTATAGAAATAACCAATAGGTGCACAGCTTTAGATACTAGAATTATTGTATTTTTGTATTGTATATGATGAGTATTTACTTGATATATTATATGTATAAGTTTATATTAAGTGCACACATTTAAGTTTGTATGCGTGAAGCATTTGATATAGGTAACTTAAACCAGTTAAACCCATATAATATGTATGTCTTACTGGCAGTTCACCAAGCATATAAGTAAAGGTTTTTTTCATCCTAGTCTTTAAAGTTAGAAACGTTATAATATTTATTTCATCATATAAAATTCACGGTTGATATTTTTTTAAATAATAGCTGAACAAGTTAACATTAAATGAACATTAAAATAAGATTAAATGTGCAGTTCTTATTTTATATAGAAACGTAAATTTGCATAATTTATACAACTCATTCTACTCATAATTATATTAATCAAAATATTAATTTATAAAGTTGCCACCAACAGCGATAACAAAATTTTTATAATTTTAATTAGACGAAAATAGTAGTAAATAATAATAAACAAAATATTTTTAATTAAATGTTAAATATTAAATGTTCAGTGTAAAATAATTAATTCAAGCTAATTGTCCAGACACCGAGACTTTAACACTAATAATAAAAAAATTATAATTTAGCTCCATAGAATTTAAATGCTTTTAAATAATTATACACAAAACCTATTTTATTTTAGGATAAATGATAATATAAATGTTTCTTATCATTTTATATTATGTAATTATAATGTAAAAAAAAATTTCAAATAAACTTTAAATCTATTAAAAGTTCCAATTTTAAAATATCAAAGGGTATATATATATATATATATAGTAAATTGCAGTAAATTAATTTTAATTAACATTTTATGTAGGTACCTACTGTACCTATATACAATTAAATATATATAAAAAATATATTAAATAATATTTTTTTGAATAAAAGTACTCAATAATTTATACCTTAAGCTTGATACTATATAATATATTGGTATTTGGTACTGTTTCTAAATAATATAACATTGAAAATAATTACCTAATTATGTGCAAAATACATTTGCAGTAGGTATATTCGTTTATTACATAACACAAAATATTGTGAATGATTTAATAGTTAGCTTAATTTAGCATAATATATTACTTGAGTAAAATTCAAATTCAAATTATCATCATATTTATGTTATTATTGCCTAAGTTTCATGTTATAAAGAAATAGAAATTATGAGTAGTCCAATCATCATAATCTTCACTATCTTAAAATCCAGTTATTAATTTGTACCACATTATGGTTAATATTGATTATATTTATAAATATATAGATACCCATTATTATAGGTACCTATATATGTATATAGCTTGAAAATTATTAGCACTTATACAATTATAATCACTGATACGTTACAATTTTCAATGATTGGTCTGAATCAATTTTTTTTTTCGTTTAAAGAACCACGGGATAAATTAATATAAACAGCAATTAAAATTCGCACGAGTTGCTCAGTTAAAACACAGTAGTGAGAAGTAAGTGGGATTTATTAGTGTTTTTCTTTCGAGTTGTAAAGCCGACTTAATACCAGCGGATCACAGTTGATCTCAAACGATTTTTCGTTGTGGCCTACTGCAGCAGTTCTTTTTTCAATATATTATGTACCTATTCCCACTTATTTATTATCTAGTCTAAATATTATCATAATTCATCTGACATTTGTATTAATAACCTTAAATATCTTGATCATACTTCTTTAAAACTCAGGACTTAGGCAATATGTGCATCTAAATTGTATGATCATTGCTAATGGAAATGCTATGAACAATATTTTTTTTGAGAATGTTGTTATGTAATATCTATTATAATGCACAATATTGAAATTGTAATATTGATGATTTTTTTTTGAAACTCCGACTGTGGCTTAGATTGTTTAGAGGTACCTATTTCCTAGTTCATACTAAAAATATTTATAGAAATGACATAAACTACCTAATACATTTATTGTTCATATTACAGATATAGGTACTTAATTTCTGATAATTGTTTTAGTATATATTTATTTCATATACTTGATTTCAATATTTTATATTTATCTAATATGTTCAAGTCCGCAAATAATTTT